GGGGAGGGGGGAAGGAGAGGGGAGGGGGAAGGAGAGGGGAGGGGGGAAGGAGAGGGGAGGGGGGAAGGGGAAGGGGAGGCGGTCAGCGGTTGGGAAGAGGGCGGTGCACCTCCCTTCCCCTGCAATACCTCCTGCGTGCTGCTCCGTGTCGATGTGTTTTTCTCTTGATGCCCCACTCCCATCCACTCCCATCTACCCCACTCCGCCGCAGCCAAAAACAAGTGCAGTAACTCTCTCCCTCTTCCTCTCTCTTTTTCCTTTCATTTGAAAACACACAATCAGTCGTACATGCGGCATCCACTCAATGTGCAGTACCCGTCCTGCGCCATGTTATCATGCTTAATGAACCTGGGCTGCTTGTGTATGTCGTACCTGTCGTATACTCGTACAGGCCCTGGGGGGCACCCTGGAGCGAGTTGTCATCACCCGGCAGGTGGCCGGCGTCTTCTATGCGCGTGTCGTACTCAGCCGCCCCGGCACAGCATGCCCCCCTTGGAGCGAACAGCTGGGACTCTACTCCCCCTCCCCCTCCACCCCTTCCTCCTCGCGCCCCTTTTCCTCCTCCTCCGCTACCACTGCCGGGGGCCCCCCAACAGCAACCCCAGCAGCAAAAGGCTCGGGAAACCCTGGCGAGCAGCAGCAGCCGCCGGGGGAAGGGGAGGGGAGGGGGGGGCATGGGGGGGAAGTCCTCCTGGCCTCCGTGGACGCCCGGCCCTCCGATGCGTTGGCTCTCGCACTGGAGGCTGGTGTGGGGGTGTTCGTGTCTCATGCCGTGGCGGAGTGAGTATCGGTAGCTTGGGGGAGGGGGGTGGCTGGCTGGCTGGCTGGCTGGGGAGAGCGGGGAGGTTCAGGGTTAGGGTTGAGGCGTGGGGGAAAAAGAGGGTTGGAGGGAATGTTTGTCGTCCCGCGTGTGGCAGCTTGAAGCTCCTGCTCGGAAGGTGGAGGAAGGTGGGGGAGGTGAGGTTGGTCGTGAAGAGGAGCTCTGATTTCCCCCACCCACACAACACGCACACGACATGAAATACACGCGACGTAAAACACACACACACACACACACGCATTCGATGTAGATTAAAATAGCTCAACTCGCACACCCGTACACAGCCGTACACACACATTCCCACTCACTTCTTTCTGCTCCACACAGACACACAGACAGACAGACACGCACACTCTACGTGTTACAGAGCTGTGGCCTCCGTCCATCACTTGGCCCCCGACACCCTCCCTCCTCCCCCGCCGTTGACCCGCCTTCCCAACCACACAGCCTGGTTCAGCAGCAATATCGGGATGCTGCGGAATCAGGGAACCGCGCCGTCTTGGATCTGACCGAGCAAGTAAACATATAAACATACATGCATACATACGGTATGACACCACGAACGACAAAAAGGGCCAGTTGAACCGCATGAGGAGGAGGAGACGAAGGAGGCGAGCAGGAGGACTGTGTGTATGTGTGTGCAGGGATGGGGACAGGGGGCATAGGGGAGGGGGAAGCGGTGATGGCGGTGGTGAGGAGGGAGGGGGAGAGGGGGAAAGGCAACTTGGGGCCGCGCCTTCAATGTGGGCGGCGCCAGGGCTTGCTGGTCAGCAAGTCCTGGTTCGTTGCCCAGTTCTCACGACCACTTGGGGACCGCCGCTCGTTGCTCTCTAGGAGGGCAGGACGGGGCGAGTGAGGGCATAAGTGCTCGGACATGTTGGTTGAGTACGGCATGAAGCAGGCTCTTGCTCCCGAACTGTCCAATGCAGCCACACACTCCCACGCTATTGCCGCCCCCTTAGCACAGAGAGTGGCATTGCATATCGCAGCCACCCAGGTCCACCCAGATAAACCACACGTGCCTCACAATCTACATGCACCCTGCCTTCTCCACCTTCAGCAAGTGGACTAGAAGAAACATACACACATACGTACATATATATATGTATACATACGTCGCCGTGAGGCTTGGGGAGGTGAGGGCGGTGCCTACAAGGTGACGCACTGCCCCCCTCGCGAGGGGTGCAGTGAGTAGCCAGTGAGTACGATCGTGAGTAGCCGAGGTTAGGAATCAATGCAAGTAGGTGGGAGTGCTTTGCGTGCAGCCTGGTTTGCTGGTGGTGTTGCTTTTCCTGCTTTCCTGCTTTGTCCCTCGCTTTGGTTTCATGCTTTACCCATTAATAATATCCACTTTTACACATTGACGGGGGCCGGGGGGTGAAGATGTTGGAGCCGTCGTGCGGTGGCGGTGGTGGACAACAGCGCGCGGTGGGGATTTCTCTTTCACTCGGCCTCCACTACTTCCTCGCCGTATTTGATATAATCCTTTTTAGTGTTGCGTCATGGGTATCATTCCCATTTATATGTATGTATGTATCTATGTATGACTTAGATTACACTGTGGGCCGTGAAAGCCGTGGGGGCTGGAGCCGAAACACAGTGCAAGGGTCGGGAGTACACGGCATAAGTCGTGGCTAGACTGCTGTGCTCCCAACCCCGACTCAGCAGCGCCTCCTCCGTCTATGTGTACCCCAGAGCTTTGTAATTTGTGGTTTGGGGGTTGCAGCACAGTGAGCATTAGCTCTTACCTCTAATAAAATTCCGTGAGGGGGAGAGCCGCCAAATGTTAATGCACGTGTCTGTCTGTGCACGCGTTTGGGCGGAAGAGGGAGGAGGGAGAAACTGTACAGTACAACTGCCTTCGGCTACATGTTAACTGAAATCTTAAAACGCTGCTAGCTTGCCGTACAAACATGTCAAGTCCTGACTATAGTGGAAACGTGACGCGCTGGTCCCCCTGGACCAGGCTCGTTCGCACGGAGGGGGGGAGATGCTTTCACTTAGGCACCGAGGTTTCAGAAGAGGATTCGGTACCATACATCATCTCTTTGCCAAGCAGTACCTTACTGCTAGGCACACAGCCAACCGGGACAGAGGCCGCTATTCATTGTTCAAATTGACTTTGAGAAGGCGTTTGACAAGGTTCAGGTGCCGCCGGGAGGTGGTGTGTGGCTTCGTTTGCAGGAGAGAGGGGCTGAAGGGTCCATGCTGCGATCGCTGTTGCGGTCGCTGATGATGACAAGGCTACAATGGTCATCAAGATGAATGGCAAGGCTGGAGGTAAAATTGAGTCAAAACAGGGTGTGAAACAAGGCTGTCCATTATCAACCGAGCTGTTTGGACTCTACATTGAAACTCTCGCGGGACGTCATCGATATGCATGACGGTGTTAACACCGGGGCACGGCCAGAGGATGCACCGAAGGTTGGAAATGAGCGAGTGTCCATCCTCCTCTATGCCGATGGCGTTAGTCTTCTGGCAACAACACCGGGACGCATGGGGGAGCTGCTCAACATTGTGGACATGTTCTGTGATGATTTTGGGATGCGCCCAAATGTGTCGAAATGTGAACGCCTCGTTTTTGCAAGCGACAGCGACACTAGGCGCGCTGTCCAAGCATCGTGTGATGAGCTCAGGCTGGCTGGTGAGGCCATACCGGCTAAGGATAGTGCACGTTATCTGGGGTTAGTGTATGGGCCGGAACGGCAGTTCTGAGCCTGCCGTCAGCAGTTGTATGACACAGCAAGAGCAGCTATGTTCGCGTTGAGTACAAAATTGGATAAGCTAAAGTTGTTCGCCCCAGATGTGAGGATGAGGTGTTTCGATACGCAGGTACGAGCAATACTGTTGTATGGTTGTCAAGCGTCGGGGCCGTTTATATGCTAGCTGAGGTCTTGCACAGGCTCAGGAGGCGGAGTGCTGCGAATAACCTTACAGAGGGGCCCTTCGAGGCATGCCTAAAGGACAGAGCGGTGCAGCTTCAGATATCCTTCATGCGACAAATTGTGGGAGCTGCCAGACCAACACACCGCCTCCTGTTTGCAGAGCTGTCGCAGCTACCCCTACATTACCACGTTTTCAAGCAGGTTGTGAGGTTTTGGAACCGTGTCCGTTTACAGCGTGGGTCTGTGGCACATCATGTTCTGCGACAGAAGGTCGCAGAGTCCCTCTCCAACCCCGAAGGAGCCGGATGGGGGACACTATTCCTCCGTTTCCTATGTTTTCTGGGGCACGACGTATGGAAAGAGGCCCCGCAAGGGCTACACGAGGTAGACGAACGAGTGGAGTGGCTGATGAACAGGCCAATGCCAGGTGGTGTGGTATTGGAGTTCAAGGACCGATTGGTGAGTGGTTGGAAGCATACGCGTCTAGATGTCCAGCCAGACGTGTACCCATCAATCGGCAAGCAACCAGGAATTCACATGGCGAAGTATCAGCATTGGATGGGTCTGGCGGCCGAACAAGCGGGCAGGAAGGAGGTGCTCCCGCATATCACAATGTTTATCCCGCGTTCAGCGAATCGCAAGCTTATGCAGTTTAGGCTTTGCTGTTGGGCATTGGCGGCTAACAGAGCGCGTAAGGGACGGCGTCATATACCTAGGGAGGAGCGAGTATGCCCCTGCTGCGGCACTGGTAGCCATATCGAGGATGAGCAGCACACCTTGCTGGACTGTCCGGTGTACGACAAAATCAGATCTGATATGGATTTCCCACGCTTCGAGCGTATAAAGGACGCTATGAAGCGGGAATCTGAACGCCTGGCAAGGATGCTGGAACGTATATGGTCCCAACGCAACTCTATCGTTCCCTTTGGTCGTTAGTATCCTTTATCACTTGCTTTGTTTGAAGTGCGAGGTAAGATGGTGCTTTTAGGCGATCTGGCAGCCCTTGAGCCCTCGGCTCGTATTAGGGCAGTTTGCAGGTACGACCATACACACACGCACATAATTTGTCTGTCCGTCTGTCCGCAGGTATGCAAGCTGCCTATGATGTGCCTTCGACGTGGCAGGTACATACATACAGATACACAGAGAGGGATCTCCCGCCCTATTCCGAATCAAAAATGGAGGGCACGAGTCATGAACAGCTGTGACACGAATGCATGTGCCGCAGTAGCTCCCCGTAACGGCGGTCATCATGGCCTCGCCAAGAAGCGACGACTCCATTTCATCTAGTTGAGATGGCTTGATGGACCAGGTCTCCCAGGTCCCCGCTTAACTCCCCCCCCATTCGTGCCCCCCATCAAGCCTCACACCCTGAACGGCGTCTCGTCCCAACGGTCGTAACTACTTCAGATGGCACATTGTCTCACCCCCCCTATTTTGAGGCCGGCTAAGCAGCAGTCTCCCAAACCCCCCTCCTCCGCCCAGACGACAGACGCACCCCTACCCTCATTCGTTCGTTTGTTGGTTATGCAGTACCGTTTCTTATCGTACATCACTACAGCATTTTCCGTACGTTCCCTGCGCAGCCTTCCACACATTGCCTCACGTATCAAATCCTGAAAAGCGCTGTTGCTGCTGTTGCTGCTGCTGCTGCTGTTTCGCAGACGCCGTCATAGCCGGCGACGCTCCCGCTCCATTACTCGCTTTCGGTCGCGATCGACCCGTGGGTCCCGCTGCAGCCACTGCAGCCGCCGTAGAACCTGCAGCAGCAGCACCTGAAGCACCTGCTCCCGCCGCCGCCGACAGCTGCGGCTGGCTGTTCGACCCGCTGCCCGCTGCCACACCCCCGGCACCACCAGCAGCAGCCATGGGGCTTCCGTTGCCATTGCCGTTGCCATTCCCATTGGCGGAGGCTGATGCGCTTCCCAGCGATACGTGCCGCGACCTGGCGGCTGCGGCCTCCGCCTCCCGCTGCTGCCGCCGTTCCTCCGCAGCTCGCCGCTCCTGCTCCTGGCGCTGACGTACCAGCTGCTGCTGCTGCTGCTGCTGTTCCTCTTCTGTCGCTGTTGCGGCTGGTGGGGAAGATGGCGGCGGGGCACCTTGGCTGGTTGCTGCAGGTAACGCCCCTGTGGGGCCCACATCACCCTGCTGGGGCACTGCCACTGACACTGCCGCCGCGTGCTGCTGCGGCTGCTGCTGCTGAGCAGCCGCTGCCGCCGCCGCCGCGGCTGCTCGTGGTTGCGGCAAGATTCCGCTGTACAGACCCTCCAAAGTGGCCTACGGTGTGCGTGTGTGTGTGTGTGTGTGAGTAGTCGGAAGGGGGAGGCCCCCGGGGACGGGGAACGGGTGACATGAGAGCAGCTGAATGACTACAAACCAAGTCACGAACTAGGGTCAGTGTCTTACTTCTTCTCCTACAGTATAATACTGGTCTTCTCATATCGGAGTATCCGTCTTTATGGTGTTTCCTTCCCGTCAATCATCCGTGCTTTGTTGTACCCATCCCACCCCACCCAACATCACCCCACCTCACCCCACCTCACCCCACCCCACCCCACATCACCCCACCCCACCCCACCCCACATCACTCCACTCCCCCCGGGCCGCCATCACACCTTGAGCTCCTCGAGCTTATCCAGCTGTGCCTTGGCTGCCTGCTGCACCAGCGTGTTCAGCTCACCACAGAGCTGATCCTTAACCGCCTCTTCCTGCTTCAGCTCCGCGTCCAGACGATCAAACGTCTGTATGTACGTACGTACGCATGGAAGTATGTGGCACATGCAACAATAATACACAGAGGAAGGTGACAGAGCGGCGGATACCAAAAATACTAAAAACGATGAATGGAACTGGCAAGGTCATCATTAGCTCGCACCCATGGAACTTAACGCCAACCGTGCCGTACACACGCGCAACGGTGGTCTGCTTTTTCTCCCCTAAAAACCTCCTCTTCTCCCTTTCACCAGCCTGGCGGCTCAAACCCTGGCGGCTCAACGACCCACCGCCTTCGCTGCCGTGTGCTTAGCACGCACGTAAGCCACTCGCTCGTTCTGAGTCTCGATCTTTTTGCGCAGTAGCTCCAAGGCATGTTTCTTTGGACCGGAAGTTAGCTTGAGCTGTAGCTGCAGGTTGCCTAGCTCCCGCTCTACCTCGCGAATCCGTCCGTAGTTCAGTGCGATGCTCCTGAGGATGAGATGATAGGGGAGATGATGATGGCAGATGGGGGAAAGACGAACCACACACGAGTGAAGCTGCTGCCAGGGCAAGAGATGGGGGCCGTGTAGGCGGATGGCAAGGACTGATGGGGGCCGTGTAGGCGGATGGCAAGGACTGATGGGGGCCGTGTAGGCGGATGGCAAGGACTGATCCCATCAGGTGTTGGGAGGTCATCTTCAGAGCTCTGCTGCTGGTGTGCTACGGGAACGGGGGGATGTATGCTGGGTGGGATTCAGCAAAGCGACCGGTGGCGCGTGGACAGCAGAGCGGCGAGTGGGGGGAGGAGGAATTGAAATGGTGGGTGGGATGTGGAGAAGGCGGCAAGGGCTGTCGTGTAAAGATGAGACCAGAGCGTAGGTGGCGCGCAGCGGGTAGGTTGGTTGAGTGGGGAGGGGTCTAGGTTACGCGGAGATGTTGCTCCATTTTGTACACCCCAGCACAGGAAATGACGATATTGTACAAATGATTGCAAGCGTGCGATAACTCACTCCATAAGCTCCCGCTCTTTCTGCTCAAGGAGCTGCGCAGCGGGCGATGGGATGGGCATGGTTTGGAACGTGGGTTAAGCACCGTCAGGTTATTATTGCCATGTAAGTTGGCAGTACATTGTAGGAACGTTACTTTCTCACCTTTTGGTTGTAATTGTACATTGCCTGTGATTGTCCGGCATTCGCAATTGCTTGCTCTGCAAGGACTTCCTGGGAGTCTTCGTGACCTACGCCAGGGTCTTCGGCCCTGAGAAAGGGATTCTGAAGATCCATGTTCAGCCTGTGCCTGAAGTCTGGAGTAAGGAGTGATGCGGGAGGCCGTGTCCGTCTGAATAAGCTGAAATCCTGCAATTGATTTCTGCAAGCCGTAGTAAAACCTAAACAGTCACTGTGGAAAACCTTCAATTATAATAGAATTGTTTTTGATTCTGTTCCATTGCAGCATGCCGACAGGCCTACTAGTTATCCCGTACATTTAAAACTGATGCCAGCATCACAGGTTCTTTGCTCCTTTAATCCGCATGTTATCGCATGGTGAAAATCTTGTGATTTCATTACCCAAGCGATAGGGCATACAGGTGTCAATAGATTTACCGGCGTCCATGGCCCGCCCTCAGTTATTCCGTAGGGTAATCTCTTCATTTGTTGGACTTGCAGCATCTCAAATGCCTGTAGCGGTTCTACATGCATCAAAGGGAGATCTTCTATTGCTTGCCTTGAACACGCACACTTCTCGGGATTTCGCTTCCCGCACGGCCTTTGACGCCGACCTCCAGGGCAGCCGAGGGGACGTGGACGTGGAGTCGTCAGAACGCATACATCCTCGAAGTCGAGCACAGAGAAAGTTCGCAGCCAGGTGCGACTCTCAGGCGTGATGGGTCTGGGTTACAACGGACTGCTTGAGCTTGAGCAAAAAGCACACCGCGCAACACACTGCACCACAATGCCATGGGAGCACTTCTCAACACCCCAACGCGCCTCCCCCGATCCTCCAATGCCTTCACCTACATCCTACGGTAACCTGACGTGTCATGATCAGCTTGATGCTGCTGCAGCATCTCCTGCTGTCCTAAGCAAATACACGTACGCATCGCGCCAGGTCAATTGACTGTTGCTCTTGGATTCTCGCTTTGCGCACCTGCTGACGCCTGGATGTCTCGACGTTCTTGCATTTGCCCTTCCGCGCGCGTTCCCGTTCCTCTGGAAGGCCTTTGTCTCTCTGCTCCCCATGGCGGACCAATCACCAAATGTGCCTCTTTGCATGGCTCATATCCCCAAAAATCATTCCGCTGCGTCCCGACGTGTCTCGGGGGAGTGCCGTACATACACACACGTGTGCATCTTCACACGCGCACACGCACTCATGCACACCCAAACTCGCAGAGTGGAGCGTGCCCTCGTGGAGGCGATCACCTACGACGTCCATCTTCGCACCGCGCTGGTCGAACCGTACGGCATTGTCGTACACGCCGTACGTATTACCGAGGACCGCCTTCACGCGACCGTGCTATGGGATTGCCACCGATACCCTCTAAATATGTCGCATGGAGCTTCATTAGCTCTCAGGCGCCACGAGCACCTCATTCGCGCACGGCTGGCTCGCGTCCTACGCGTAGCTGATGTCCCTAAGCTGAAATGGCGCCATGCTGCATTGGACGCGCGCGACCATCAGACTTTGACCGTAATCGAACAGCTACAGCGCGAACGAGAGGGGGAACCTGAGCAGAAGGAGCAAGTAGAAGCAGCTGTAGCAGAGGCGGAGAGAGGCAGAGAACGCGGCGGCGCTAGCAGGAGTAGCAGTAGCAGTAGCAGGGGCGAAACCGGTAGTGGCATTGTGTCGGGGCCTGGTGGACCGACGAACAGCAGGTCACCGCGCCGCAGCAAACAAAGCCAGGGTGATGAAGAAGCGGATTCAACCTTGCCGCCGGGAAAGGTGGCTACTATACATGGGGGACAGGGGCTTGCGAAACACAGGGCCTAGCTGTAGTGGACACAGTCTACAGTGAGTCTGGGGCTGGGTTACAGTGTGGTGATGGAGACGGCAGCTGTAGCGACATTACATGATGTGTCGATTCGTGAAAGTGCTGATTGGTCACGCTACAGATTGGGTCGGGTGGCGGCGGGGACGCGGGCCATGCGCTCGGAGGAGCGGCGGCGGCGGCAGCAGCTGGAGCGCAGGAGGCAATGGACAGCGTGGGGAATGACCGCAAAGGCTCCTATTAGGCCGGATGGCCCAGGGGCTGCGCCGTGATGCTGTACATCGATTGTTGTGCATTCATCGTACGGTCGCACGGATCGTCGAAGGCGGTTTGCCTGTTCGACAGCCCCAAGGTTCTTTGCAGCAAATTACACTCACCAAATGTGTATACACATGTATACACATATAACGACACTCACCAAATCTGTATACACATGTTTACACATATAATCACACTCATCAAATCTGTATACTCAAAGGAACGTTCGCGGGTCACCAACCACTCCTTTAGTCAAGGGTGTTACCTGGAAGCCCAAACACTGAAGATCTCCGAACCCAGTTCGTACCCAGTAATGATTAAATACGTGGTTTATGCGAAATTGCTGAAATTATGGAGAGTGGCGATTAATTCCTTATAAGAGGGTTGTTGTGGCCTATCTGTACCGCAATTTCATGCAGAGAAAATACGGCTCACCGTACAAAGCACCATTGGTACATGGTGCGAGGGGCTAGTTACAGGTTCAGGGTGCTATTTCAGATTACATGAGCTTGTCTACATGAGCGGGAGGTCGTCATGGGAGGTCGGCTGTAAGATCCATTGCCTGTCACGAGCCCACAGCATCAAAAGGCTGCCTTCGTGTAAATGTTTGTTTGTAAGAGTGATACAATATATGACGGATTTTTGCAGCGAATGTGAAGGTTAAGGAAACCTTGGCTAGGAATTCTTTACGATAGGACATACTGTGTCGCCACTTTTAACTTTGAAGCACCGATCGCCATATAGAAAGAAAAGAGGCCAACCAGATATTTATGTCAAATCCCTTGTCAGCGTCGGGCCCATAACACTTATACCTTTGGTGGTTGCACATGGTTCCATCGCGCCTCGGGACCCAAAGCTGATACAATACTGGGTAGTTCTTTCGTGTAATCAGATCGCCGTCATACGGTTACATGGTTTCTCGGCCGCGCTGTTCATGTCGTCCGGCAAAGCTGCAACTAGGCATGACGTGCAGCCGGAACGAAAGGCCTCCTTGTTCAAGGTTGGAACACATTTCCTGAAATACTTACGTATTTATGCACTATGCCCTAGATTACCAATATAATAGGAAACGGTCGACGCGACTTAAGGGCACTTAAGTTCCTTCTTGAAACGGTGCTTAGAGTGGAGCCATCCAGTCGCTAACGTAATTGATTTGAGCCTTTGGAACACCTCCTTGTGTAATAATTCGCTAGTACAGGGCCTAGCCCGGCCGTCGCGCCGTTGGCGCTCCTCAAGCTCCTGCGAGAACGGCGGGCGCTGCCCTGCGCCCAGCAAAATAGTTAAGGGGCATCTAGGAAAAACAGCGATCAGCGGCCATGGGGAACTCGCAGGGCAAGGGTGATGTGGCGACCACCGGCCGTGCCATTGCCATTACCGGCGGAGCCGTGAAGGGAAAGGCCACGCTGCCCAAGCTGCCGGCAAATGCTGTTAAGGCTCAGCCGGAGGACTACTCGTTCATCGAGGTGCGCTGGAGCGACCAGCTTCTTCCCGTCTGGACGGGCCCAGAACAGCTTTGTCTTGACTGTCTGTGCAGAATGCTCTGGGACGGCTACTATTGTTCACAAGGTTAGACCCACAACTTCAACGGAAGATTGTGTCCGAAATGTATGAACGGACTGTGCCGGCGGGAGACATTCTAATCAAAGAGGGCGATACCGGTCTTGCTGCTTCCGAGCTATACGTCGTTAAGAGCGGCAAATTTGAGGTGCGATAGCATCAGATTCAAATGGCATCGATGGGTTACTTAGGTAGATGTTTGCCACACCTCAGGTGCTTCAAAAGCGACAGGGGCAAAATGTCCGCGTCAACATTAAGGAGCGCGGCGACTGCTTCGGCGAAATCTCTCTGATGTATGACAGCCCTCGAACAGCCACCGTAGCGGCCACTATGGACGCAGTTGTATGGGCGCTTGACCGCCAAGTGTTCAGGTATGCTGCTTATGGCAGACATGTGAGGTCTTGCTGCTTGCCATTTGGCCTGCTCATACCACTGATTCTTTTTAAACAGGTTTTTTGTGAGAGAGCTCCAGGAAACCCAGGTATCACAGGTTGAGCTGTTCTTGAACAGCGTGCCTATCCTGGCCAACCTGTCGCGCGAGGAGCGCATCCGCCTTGTGGACGCGTTCGAGGAAGTTACGTACCAGGCCGGGCAAAAGGTTATCGTGGAGGGTGATAAGGGTGACCTATTTTACATCGTCAAAGATGGGGAGGCCATCGTGTACCAAAACACACCCCAGGGCCAGCGCAAAGTGAACCACCTTTTCAAGGCGGACTTCTTCGGCGAGCGCGCTCTGCTAAAAGATGAACCCAGGTGAGAGGTTCCGCAGTCTGTGCAGGGCCAGAGACGGGGCCTGTACCTGGGGTTGGGGGATTATGTGCATGGGGTGGGGTGGGGTACCCGTCCATGCCTTGCCTTGACAGGGCATGGACTCTCTTCTGGATCCCCCGATGCGACGGATAGTACGTAATGTTTTAGCAGCATGAGACAGGTCTTGCTGCTAGCCGGCAGCTTGCTAGCTGTACAGGGCCGGCTGAGAGCATCAGTACGCGCAGCTAAACGTCCAATTTACAAAGCAGCGAGGCGGCAGCTGGGGGACCTGTTCTTAGATACTTGGTGGCGTGGTGGGTTCCGAGACCACAATGTGCGAGTGAGCATCGCTGGCCATAAACGATGTCGCCTTGCGGCCATGGCCTCTTGCACCACTTGTTGGGCTTGTGTTGTGGCATCTTCGTTGACCTGACGACCTAGGATGCCTACTGTTATTTCAGTGACCTGGCTTAGCCCTCTTCAGCGCAATACCTCCAACGGCGTCTGCGCGTATGCACCGGATTTCGCTGCGCGTTGATAGCGCTTTTGGGTTATCCTGGTTATCACATGCTGCATCGCTGCAATGCGAAAGCTTATTACAACTTATACCACAGTTCATGGGAAGGACGCTCTCCGCCACACACATCGGGTCGGGTGATTGGCCACACGCGCTTCTCTTTCGTGTCTTGCAGATGCGCAAAAGTTTGGACACAGAAACCCGGACCTGTCCGCCTCTCCCCTCTCCGCACACCGCATTCCCGTGCAGAATGGCAACCGTGGAGGCTTACACGAAGCTCATTTGCCTCACACTAAAGCGTGAAACATTCCAGGAGATCTTAGGTCCGCTGGAACAACTTATGGCGCGCGAGAAATCGAACCAGGTGGTGGCGCAGAAGATGGCCAAGCTGCAACCCCGTGGCTCCAACGTACATCGGCCGTTGGCGGACGTGCTGATCAAGCGGAAAAAGAAGGGACGCAACGGGGACACCTGGGAGGTGGTGCGTGCGCGCGGGCACTTGGATGAGGTGTCGGAGCTCCGTAAAGGCGGCACCAAGCTGGGTGGGTGGGGATGTTCTTGCGCATGGGTGGGAGGTGTGGGGGGCCCATGAGGAACGTGGGAAGGGGGCCGGATGACCAGGGCATATGCCTGGGGTTTGACTTGATGGATTTTCGACTTGAACTTTGCCAATTTTGTATTTTGAAATGGTGAGTTTAAACCCAGATGGGCCAGTAGCAGTATATCGAGTAGAGTTCACTTTACCTGTTACTATAGTGCTATTTCTGCTGTTTGATGCACTAGCATCAGTGCAAATGTGCGCGAACGCGGACACGTCTAAGGATGTGAAGATATACGGTCTACAAAGCGTAGTGCTGAGGCGGCCATGTAGGCGTGTTGTCGGCTCCAGGTAGGTTTATAACCTACTCGGCGTCTGCTTGCACCTAGCCCTCCTGCCATCGGGACCTTCCCTCTGCGACGCACATCCCTGTCGTCCTGACCACCTCCTTACCCCCACTGCTTCTCCTTCTCCTTCTCCTTCGTGCTTGCAGACGGCTTGGAGTCCGGGACGTCGGGTAAGGAGAGCATCGCGCTGGTCCTTACAGAAGGGACGGTGCTTGGCGGTGGTGCTTTCAGCCGAGTATCGATTGTCATGGGTAAGCAACCTTTGCCGGAAGGCGGGCAGGCGGCGCACACTGCTGTGGCTTGGGTAGCCTACTTGGCCAATCCTACCGATACCGGTACCGACGGTTGGCCTTCCACCGGTTCCTCTCGCACATTGCTTGGAAAGCTTCAGGAACGCAAGAACTTGGCGTTCATGTTCCACATGAGGGCTGTATGCGGAATGTGACGTTTCTTAAGCCTCCTTGCTTGTAGACCGAAACGTTGCTTGAAGCTCAGGCGCATTTGTTTTTATGAAGCGCGGGGCCGGACTTCCCGCCGTGCCGCCGCACAGCCTGCACACACCCACATACTTTTCCTTGCCGCCTCACCTTGCAGAGGAGTCAACCGGTCGGCAGTACGCGCTGAAGCGCATGCGCAAGTCGGCCGTGGTGCAGTGTCCGGAGCACGTCTTTTGCGAGCAGGCGATCACGAAGAATGTGGCACATCCGTTCTGCATCCGCCAATACGCATCGTTCCAGGCAAGCCTAGCGACCCTCCAAATGGGGTGGTATGGCATTATTTACGGTCCTGGACCTGCTCAATTCCCTTAACTCGAGAAATGGCGGGGCAATGTTTGCCATGTTGTAAACCAAAGCCGGACAAATGCTTTACACGTTCCAAGCAAAGCTGCCTTGGCAGTGGTTCCGTACGCCGTCTGCGCGTGAGGCACATAACGTTACGCTGTTGCGACCTGTTACAGGGTTATGGACAATGCCGATATCTCCATCTAAATATTCATCGAAATCTCCATCTATACATATGGTCCCCCTACGGTAGTGTCCACCCGCGCACGCACCAGTTGAAAACGCATTGCAGGTCACCGTTAACACCGCCCTCTCTGATCCGTTTTCTGTATGTATGTCCGTTGTTGCAGGACAAGTACCACCTGTACTTCCTGTTTGACCTGATGCCCGGCGGCGATCTGATGGATGTGCTGGTGGCGGAGGCCAAGGTCATCAGGCGCCGCGTGCCGCAGGGCAACTGGCGGATAGGCTGCCTAGCTCCCAAGGTGAAGATGCTGCAGGGGATGAGCGAGGACCTGGCCAAGTTTTACATCGGTTCCATCGTCCTGGCGCTCGAATACCTGCACAACAACAACATAGTGTACCGCGACCTGAAGCCCGAGAACGTCTTCATTGATGGCAGCGGCTACGTGAAGCTGGGCGACTTTGGTTTCGCCAAGGTGATCTGCGGCTGTTCTGTGCTGTGGGGTCCACACTCATGATGCGGTCTTTGCTTGTTATAGCTAGTTATAGCTAGCTTGCTGATGGGATGGGTGGGGACAGCAATGGTGGGGACAACAGGATGTAATATAACGGGATATGTATCGGTGTTTTGCATTAAAAGCACATTCATGGGTGTGCTCCGGGCCGCGGATCTGGGTTTCGGAGCGTCTGCGCCCATCAGCGCAAGGAGACCATGTGCGGCCGGCCATGCACCAAACCTTTCGGCGGCCCTTGTACATCTGGTATCTGCTTCATTCGCCAGTGGGTAGTAGTCTTACCCCCCTTTTTCCTCCCGTGGCCGCAGGTGCTTGAGAACGGCAACAGGACTTACACCTTCTGCGGCACGCCCGGCTACGTGGCGCCGGAGAATGTGCTGGCGCACGGCTACAACTACAGCGTTGACTGGTGAGGCACGCGACGTTCTCGTCCAGCAAGCGTACCTTTTCGTCGGCGTCTCCGCGCCTTGTCCTGGAAGCCTGCTGTCCTGTATGTTCCCTTTTGGTGGCGGTGCCCATAGTACATCATCACCCCTGGGCCTGTGTGCTGCATGTGTCCTTGACGATACACCATTTCCGAGTTTCATGCAAGCAGCGGGTAACCGTTAGCTGGCACGACTACGCATGCAGCAGTAGCATGATGGAAGGTGATGAGATCTAGCAGTGGGCTTTTAGGGTCCTAGAGTGGATTGATGGTAATACCACTGGAGAACGACGCACGATGGTGTGCGCCATGTCGGCTCGTCCATGTCCGCCATCATAGCCCGCATTGGCTTTGCGAATCTGCAGCTGAATTTGCGCGGTCAAAGCCCCGGGCAGTCTGTAGCGATAAGACCTCGCAATGTGGTTGCATGTTGCAGTTTGTCGTTCTGGTTTCGCTTGTGCGGAAGGCACAAGGGCAGTAGTGTGCACGCATTCCCAGTTATGGTGGGGGCCCCCGCTCCTGCGTCGTGTCTCGCAGGTGGGGCCTGGGCGTGCTGATGTACGTGCTTCTGACGGGTCGCCAGCCTTTCAGCACCCCAAAGACGGACGATCCCATGGTGGTCATGCGCCGCATTGTGGACGAGAACTACCAGATCAAGTACCCGCCGTACCTTTCGCAGGCGGCCAAGGTAAACTCAACGAACTGTTCCGTGGACGACTTTTGTGTCTACCTTAATTTTCAGCGCTCGGTGGTATTTTAATGAATTATACCGCCATTTTATTTGGGTGCTTTGGCCGCATGCATGCTATCTCAAGCAGCAAGGATTGAAACTTTTTGTGTAATGCCCTAGCCATACATGCTGCGTGTTGCTTGCCATGCTGCTGTGCATCGTCTGAACCGTCCTGCTGCTCGTACACTGCCGCGTGTCCGATAGGACCTGATTGCAAGACTATTGGAACGCAAGCCGGCGAAACGCCTGGGCATGCTTAACGCGCGGGCGCTGGATATTAAGAACCACAAGTGGTTTGAGAACCTGCCTTGGGAGGAACTGGAAGCGCGCAGGTGCGGGATGGAGCACGCGGCCCGCTCGGTTTCTTGGGGAGTGGAACCTGGCCGCGTGTTCGCTGTAGGGGTTTTGAGCCGTTGGGTGGTTCACCATAACTATGTGGCGCGTACCACAGTGCGCCTCAAAGCCATTACGTCCGTATTGAACCCGTTCCCCACTTCAACAACGGCTGCACTGTCTGAGTGCGTGTGGCCACACGTGGACATTGACAATGCGATGTCAGGTATAAGGTGTCAGTGCCTCTCGTCACGAGAGTCCGTCAGGTAACCGATCCGCAAGGGCAGTGCTTTCTGGTGCGCTCCCCCGTCCCCTCTCGGTGTGTGACAAATGTAAGCACCACGCGTTCACCAACTTTACACGATTGCAGGATGGGTGCGCCACGCAAGCCTAAGGAGGCCGACAGCAGTAAGCGCCTCAAGGAAATGATTGAGAATGAGAAGAAGACCGCGGGCAAGACCCCGAAGGAGACGCCAGAGGAGCTGCAGGAGTGCGAAATGGTCTTTGCGGACTTCTGAGCGCCAGCTATAGCTTGTACAGCTGGCTGTGCGCGACGCTGCAGCGCGGTGGTGCTAATAGCATAGGCCAGCGCAGCGAGCGCTTGGTCTCTAATCTCGGAATACTCGATTTTGCTTGTGCTCTGCGCATGCTGCGCGCTCCTTGGCTGGAGCTTATTGCTAGCGCATTGCAGCGATGGCACCTGGACCTTGCATACGGCCATGGCATCTGGTTTGAAGGGGGCCGTGCCGTGGGTTCTTATGTATGTCTGCGGTGAATGATTTTGGTCACGAAACACAACACGTCGGTTACGCCACCCGCCTATTGACTGTTTAGCCTCTTGTGATTTCTTGCTATTATTGGCTTACAGAAAAGACACCGGTTACCAGTAGCGGTTTTACGTGTGTAGGCGAGCGGAGCCCGTGGACTGCTTGGTTTTGGTGTAGGACTAATGCACTTGCACGCCCTTCAGCGCTCTGGGGTAATGTGATATTCTTATGGCCGGCTTGAACGCCGCAGCACTGGGGCCGCATATCGGTCTGTGGATTGGGATCTAGGCTGCTGGCTTGGTCCTCTGGTGGGCTGGGGAAACACTGGAGCGATGTCGAAGCGCTGGTGGTATGTGTAGGGGCTACAGATTAATAACCCGGAAAATGGTACAGCTGTTCATGGGGAGAGATCTCTAGCTCGGTTCAGGTTACGCTGGCCAGGGGCAGGGAAGCCTGGCAGCAAATTGGGAAACCTGTGGGATGGTTCCGTTGTCCTGAGCTCGTCCCGGCCACTCCGCGCTACCCTGTCTATGCTCCATGCAGAGGAGCTCCTCTGGTCGTGTGTTGCTGCGCGCTGCATTCCCGTCGCTTATTTGACGCTGGCCTGTGTGATTGGGGGTGACCAACAAGCTACGTAATGTATGTAGGGAGAATACAATCTGTGTAGATGCTGCCATGCTATGTATCCAGCGACATGCGGTACCGCGCATGGTTGCTTTCCTTTTCCATCGATCGAGGTCGTGACGTCTTTTGAGTGACGAATGCCGCATCTAGTCCAGTCTGATCGTTTTACTTCTTTTGAACAGAATGCGCGTAGTTACTTGACTTGACTAGAAGACTTACGTCCTGTCCGCATGTTCATATGGTGCCGTGGGATTGCTGGCTGTGGGAGTTTCATCGGCCTTCGTGCACATGCCCTTGCCGCTGCTGCTGGAATCGCAAGCAAGCTGCGGGCGATGATGGTTTTGCTTTGGGTGGTGATGCGTTTGCATGGTGGTGGTGGTGGTGCTGCTGCAGTCTTTGACGGACCGTTTTAACTGCTCCTGTGGGTTTAGCGGTAAGCAACAACGACGACCTAACAACCCTGATAAGGGTTACGGGAGGACAGAAATGGAGGATTGACGCTCGGCAAGGTCGGTCGGTGCGCACATGTGGTGCTGCTACTCTGACCGACGCCGCGCTGCATGAGACACATCGAGACCGGCTTTTTTTGACGGGCGCGACGGAGCGAGCTCCTTTCGCAGTGCATAAGTACATACTGTGTCACGATAACATTTATGTTCGTGCACTCGGCGCTCGGCGCTCGCGGTGCGTGTGTTAACCTCCTGGGCGGCACGCTTTATGTGGGGACCTTCATTGGAGTCGATTGTGGGCTGGGCTGCCCGGTTCTGGCGTTGATATTATAGAGGTGTTTGCTTTACTGAAAACGACGAAACGATCCCACCCTGGTGGCCACACGCTCAGGACATATATATAGTCCCTGAAGTGTGGGCCGTGGTGTATGGTGTATTAGCTTGATTCGGGCGCCCTCCTGACAATTCGAGAGCATAACTCGGTGATGTATTAATGAGCCCCATCTATGCCGAATACATATGTCCGACGGACGGCCGAAGGGGCCGGGAGGGCAAAGCATGGCACACTTGTAAGGAGTTCAGGGTCTCTGAACGAATCCGGCGGTTACAGCGGTCTGAACGAATCCTCTGTACATGAACGGAACGTGCATGTGGCTGGCGGCCACACAGCAGCCAGCAACGTGGAAAGGGGGGGGGGGAGAAGGCAAACAAGGAGGTGCAGGGTTGACATGTTAATTGTGCGATGTGATCGTGATGCAATGCTGTGGGATGTGGTTCAGCAGAAGGGCAGAACTATGTGCCTATGTGCGTGTTCGTGTGTGTGTTTGTGTGTGCACGGAGAGGGGGGAGGGGGTTGACAGAGGTCGAGTACTTTCCCTCTCCATTAACGACCCTCGGGCACCTCGCGCCACGGACCCCAACCCAATCCGATCATTGTGACCCCTCTCGGCCCTTTGCCTCGCCGCCAACTTCGTCTCGTGCAGCACATCGGCCAGCAGCAGACAAAGACCTGGGCACTGGGCTACACACTAGCTCGGCCAGCCCCGCCTACTTGCCCATTGCTGCTAAACCCCAGCCCAGCCTAGAGATGAACATAGTGCTTGTTTGCCAGAAGCTCGCCCTTACTGGCCCATGTGTAACCTTGGTGCCGTGGAAGCACAGCACATCCAGGGATGCGCGATTACAAAGATGGCAAATACATGTGAAGGTATTGTTCATATGTGTTTTGTTTTTGGGTTATACAAGGACACGGAGAAACACAGATGAGGGAGATGGTTATTCCCATATTCTCCGCCATACGGCAGCTCCGAGACCGGCACAACGTTGCATGGCAGAAATTTTACTTACAATCTCATAGTAAATATTGGTGCAGTGGAGAAACGCTGCATTTAATGACATTGTTGGGTTCGTTGTCGTAACGCCACATTTTGTACCTGCTGAAGTTCACCTTTCCAGCGATTCGTTGACAGGCTGCGCATAATCTTTGTCTTCTTAGTAAAGCCTCTTACAATAACGCTTTCTGTCAATAACCCTAAGCCTTTGCCGCTAGGCAGTCGGGAAAAGCCCTTGTTCCGTAAACATGGCAAAGCAAGCTGGTAAAGCAGTGATCAAAGCCTTGTCATCCACGAGGTCAGGCTTTACTGCTTACGGCGTGTTGCTGAGCTGCCAGGTAAGCTACTAGCTTTTTGCCTGTCGGCTCTGCGCCCTTTCCGAGCTGTGCCACCTCCAGCATGTGACGCTAATATTTGCTATCGCACGCAACTGTTATATATTTTTTAGCGTATCTTTCATTGGGTGGGCCGGTGAACCGGAGGGTTACTGTTTCGTTACTCAGTCTACCGACCCAGCCATGAATCGGCTATGCGCGGCAAAGTAGATACATTTCATTCCGTCATGCTGAAATAGATACCGTAGGTGCCCACCGAATTCTTGGCTGTCGGCAGTTTGAATACTTTTACTTTTGGTTGACGCTCGAGGCGCCCATTCGGCAGAGGAAGCCGCGTACAGGCTCCTAGGCGCCGCCAAGAGCTGCTGGCTATCTACAACTTACGAAACCTCCATCTGGTTGTGACTGGAGCTCTAGATTTTAACGGAACATGGTTTCGCGCACATCCGCAGCGCTTGCTCACGGTGCCTGCGGACTCCTCTGGCAGCAACCGGGCCGCGGCCTGCAGGCCGGAGACGGCGTCGGTGACACCGGCAACGCAGGACTACCGACATGGCTACGTCAGCGGCTACCAGTCCTCCACCATGGAGGCTGCACCAGCTGTTCCGCAGGTAGCAGCCGAAAAGAAGAATTCCAATCTACCTCTTTGCTATGCTTTTTGGATGTCGGTGTTTAACAGCCTTCCAGATCCCAACCTGCGATGTTCCAGTCAGTGGCAATCAGCCGTATAATATACACACAGGCACGCAGGCCCCCATTCCATACCTCCTTTCTGACACCACCGCATCGCAAACTGTGTCGGCAGCCCCGCAAAACATGACCGCGAACCAACATCCCCCTCCCCCCTGTCCCGGTCAGTTCTACGTCTGGTACACTCTTGCCCTTGCAGCACCTTCACTCGTTCGCGGTTCGTCTTTCCCCCCCTTTCCCCCCCCTTCTCCCCCATCCAACCCACATCCAACCCACATCCAACCCACATCCCCCCCCCCCCGGGCAGTTCGGCGGTCAGACCACGAGCACCACCTCGGCGCAGCAGTGGGGCATCTCGCGGGTGCCCTCCCCGCGGGAGCTGGTGCGGGCCCTGGACCAGCACGTCATAGGTCAGGAACATGCCAAGAAGGTGGGACGGGGGGAGAGGGGGGGAGCGAGGGGAAGGGGGAGGACGGCTGGACGGGTGTATCGGAGAGAGAGATATCCCCATGAGGGAGTTTATTATTAGAGTGAGCAATCACGAATGCGGTAGGTTGCGGGAAACTAATGATATACATGCGGGAGCAAGGGGGGAGGGGTATAGGACGAACCACTGGCGAGTGTGAAGCAGATAACAGAAATTGGCGGATATAGTCCAGGAGAAGGGCGAATGCTGCATTTCAATAGTCCAGGAGAAGGGCGAATGCTGCATTTCAGGAATATATTTTAGTTACTGACCAGGGATGGAGGAGGCAGGGGAGGGAGGGAGGGGGGGTTAAGATGAACCCCTGACGATTGAAGCAGATGGCAGAGGGGGGATGGCGGAGTAGCGGCTGTACAGGCCGAGCTGGTGGCGTTCTCGTGCCGGTGGTGTCCGGGTGGGGGTGGGTACGGCAGGTGACGTCTAAAAACGTCCTTGCGACCGCTGTACATTGCCGGTGTTGATGTGCCGGCGCACCGGTGTTGATGCGGTAATGGAGGGAGCGGGATGACTAGGGAAGGCCGCCAGCCAGCAGGCAGTCATCAGCCTCCGATCCATCAAACCCAACGACTTGCCAAGCCAACATACATTCGTCTTGCCAATCAAGTCCGCTCTCGTCGGAGAGAGGGGCTTCCCCCCGAAAGCCAAACCCACTATCCAAACCTCGGCATGTGTGCTCGTCCCATTCTTTCCGTACGGTGGTACGGCATACAGGTGCTGGCGGTCGCGACCCATAATCATTACAAGCGCATCCTCTGCGGCCGCCGAAACGCCCGCAGGGAGGAACAGGTACCGTACAGTGCATGAGGATGGCGATAGTGGCAATAGCAGTAGTAGCAGTAGTAGTAGCAGTAGTAGTAGCAGTGGCAGTAGCAGTAGTGTTGTGGTAGCAGTAGCAGTCCTAGCATGTGGACCGGAGCGGCTGGTTGAGGAACGTTGTCCATGAACATGGGGACCGCCGTATGCGACCGTACGAACGTAACGGACGGGCCAACCGTACTTTTTTAGAATTTTATTTGCTGTTGTACGAACGCTCTTCTGTACGGAAGTTAGGACGTACGAACCTCTTGAATTCTACCACACACTCGGCGTCACGTCACATGCGGGCTCTGTGTAGGGAGCCGGTGGCGCCGGGGGAAGTGGTTTACACGACCAACTGACGTACGGCACCCCGTTAACGGACACCGCCGATCCGCGGGCAGCATTCGAGGTAAGGGAGAATGGGAGTTATATGTTCGTATATATGTGTGTATGTATATATGTATGTATATGGTGTGCCACGGCTACAGAAAATGCACCGATCGGCAGATGTCGGCGGAATCCCGTGATACGGCCAGGATACAAACATATATGTATGTATATATGTATGTATGTATGTATGTATGTATGTATGTATATATATGTATATATGTATATATGTATGTATGTATATATGTGTATGTATGTATATATATGTATGTATGTATATATGTATGTATGTATGTATGTATGTATGTGTTTTGTGGAGTTGTAGGGCCCCGCCTATATTAACATACACTTCAACAAATACCTATTTTCTCCCGCACCTCCAACTCCACCTCAACGTCGACGTCGGCTGTTGTATCTTATGACTGTTCGTTGCAACATCATGTAATGCTCCTTGGCCGCGCTTCATAACCCACTCTATCCCCCAACCCCCCCCCACATCATCATCATCATCACCAGCGTGCTGTCAACGGGGGAACAACACACCTCCACAGCCACCACGGCCCTCCTGCTTCCGGCGGTAGCAGCGGTGGCGGCAGCGCCGGTCGTCATGCCGTACAACCTCATCCGCAGCAGCAGCAGCACGAGCACCAACACCACTACGGCACCAACGACAGCCATCACCACCACCACCACCCCAACAGCAGCGGAGGCAATGTGGGCGGTGTGTACAGCCGCTTCGCTCCCCCCGGGACTAAGGCGGCTTTGGAGGCTCAACGAGCGGCAGGTAGAGAAAACTACTGATACTACTAGTCGTACTACTTGTACTACTGATACTACTAGTACTACTACTTATAACACGTGTACCACAGGGATGTATGTATGCATGTATGTACGTGGGTGCATGGCGG